GTGAAAGCAAGAGAAGAAGAAACCCTAATAAACTGGACAGCGCCCTCAGTTGGACAAACTGATCATTTGTAGAAAAAGGAGCCATTGGGACAAACGCTGCTCCAGGATTTAAGATGAATTAACCATTCGCTCTTTAAGAAGTTGTTGTAAGAAGTGGTGTTCAGTCTGGGAGGGGCTTCTCCTGGGGGTCTCACCTGCCCATTATTTATTTTTTTATTTTTAATGGATACCTGTCCATTATCCTGCACCTCGATATGAACCGATTCGAGGATTTTTGCTCTTTTCCGAGGATTTTTTTTCCCGGACTCTCATCTCTTGCTTCCTATTCACTCTCACTGTCATTTCTATTGCAAAACGATTTGTGAGCTTTTCCGGGAATCACTTCAGGGCCTGTTTTTTAAGCGGGTTGAGGGGAGTTACACGTCCATAATCTGCATTTTGGACCGTGGAGAGGAACGAGATCGGCTGATTCTGTGACTTCATCTTAAACCGATAATACGGAGGTTTAAAACATAGCTCCAGCTCCTCCTAAAAACTCTGGAGCCCAGAGCAGGAGGCTGTGCGACTAATCAAATGGGCAAAAACTGAAAACCTCTCTGCATTAGCTTCCTCATGAAGGTTGGGGTGAGCAGAGGCCATTCTTCCACCAGTATATCAGATTATTATTATTACTGCATTAGTGTGTTCGGACAGTTTCACTTAAGCGATCGAAACAGCCACCAGCAGGCTGTCTAAGTAAATAAATGCGTAAATAATCATTTTGCTGGGTCAATATTGGGCAGTTTGTGGGTGAACGTGAGCGATTCAGATGGCAGACAGACAAACGCTGACATTAACTGGCTGTTTTTTTATGTATAAAAACTTAAAAAGGGGAGTAAGTGTTGACATAGAGAGCCCTTCTTAATGTTTTGGCCATACTCAGGAAAAGTCTAAATAAAATACAAATCTAATACAAGGCTCTGGTGGTTCTGCTGTTAATCTGACCCAAAGCTGACAGTAAAAAGGCTGGATATCTCCTGATGGTGGAACTGAAATGTTTTGACTTTAACTCATTGGCTGCCAAAGACGTCTATAGACGACTTTTATGTTTTTCAACGCGAGTGGCTTGGGGGACGATCTGCTAAAGCTTGTCCGTAAATATCAGGCTTCTAGACAGAGTATGTAGTAACAAATTTACCCTCTAGGTGGCAGTGCCACTTTTGATGGGAGATGAGCATAGACTGTAGGCAAATAAGAAAAAGGTAACGGTTCGCTATGAGAGAACATGTCGCCGGTGAGACGCAAGTCGAGGAAGAACGGAATAAGGTAGAAACAAAGTTTTTTTCCTGATGAAAGAAGAGAGTCTACTCTTTCTTTTGGTGTGTTCGGTGTTTACATAGTCATAGCACAAACTATTCTGTGGCTCTTGAAAAATCAGTCAAAATGCTCAAAAAACTATATGGGACTCTGTTCTGAAAATGGCTGGCAGTCAATGAGTCAATCACATCTGGTTCACTGCCTATAGAGTTTCAGACTGAGGAACAGAAGGGGGGGGGGGGGCACAGAATACTTACCAATAGCCATGAAAATCTCATTCACGTTCATAGAGGTCTTTGCTGACGTTTCCATGAAGAGCAAGCTGTTGTCGTCTGCGTATGACTGGGCATCCTGAGAGTCAAACAACAACCCATTAGTTCGCTCTACACTAAACAACAACCCCCCCACCATAAAAACAAAACAAACAAAAACAGCCTGTCTATGGTCGTTAGTTTTGGAGGTAAACGGACAGACCTGGAAGTCCAGAGCTCTCTTGTTTGCGAGGTCGGCCTTGTTCCCCGCCAGCGCTATTACGATGTTTGGGCTGGCCTGTCTCTGAAGCTCTTTAACCCAGTTCTTCGCCCGGACAAATGACTCCTGGCAAAAGAGAGCAGAGCGGGGGGGGGGGAGAGAGGGGGGCCCCGGTTAGTGGAGGTAACAATGGGAGAGCCATGTGACGGAAACATTTGGATAACGGCCCGGGACGAGACCCAGGAGGAAGAATCGTTAAATTGATGAGAATATGAGTAAAATGCAGTCTGGAGCCTCTGACCCAACAGGAACAGAGAGAGAAGTTTACTGAGAGGAAACAGGGGAATGAACTAGGGTTGTCACGATACTAAAATGTTCAACTGGATACCGATACTCAGGAAAATACTCAATACCATTTTCAATACCACAAGGATAAAAACGAAGACCCAAAAATGTAACTGAATTGTGTATTTCATTTCAAACTGACATGTTACTGATGTTATTCTGACTGGTGGCCCACATTAATGACCTTGACCCTAACCCTAACCCTAACCCTCCAGCCTTCATAATAGTGAGAAATAAATATTTTTGGGTTAAACTTGTTTGGACTTATTGTACAAACCTATTTAACATTACACTATTTTAACATAATATTATGGATAGAGTTTAATTCAGTGTTTGAAATATTCATTTCACTATTTTTAAATCTCTATATTGCCATGAAGCAATTAGGATTTTCTTGCCTGGGATCTTCCTATTGGTGACGTAATCAAAATGGCCAACTTGGACGTGGGCGGAGTTGGATATGTACTTGATTAATGGTAGCATGTTATTATTAGCCATTAGCCACAGCTAGCAAGGCTAACGTCTTGTTAATTATCATAAACAACGTAAATAAATACATAAATAAATCAGAGAGGGGAGGGGGGGGTATCGATACTTTTGAAAATGAGTATCGTATCCGGATACAACATTTTAGTATCGATAATTTTTCGAGTATCGATACTTTTGACAACCCTAGAATGAACACACCTGTACAGGAACTCCAACACATGTTACACACACACACACACACGCACACACAAAAACGTGTGCAGAAACCAAAGGTGTCACTCTTATTTCCAAATCTAAGTTTTTCCAAACCACAATCAATGTTCAGATCTTCGTTTTCTTTAGTCCCTTTTGGCTTCATGGTGGAATAAACCCATCCTAAAACATCATTTTTAGCCTATTGTTTCAGGTTTTCGATACAGATCGAAGAAACCACAGACGCATGTAGCAATATCAGACGTTTTCTGGTGTTATTAGATTGAAATGAGTAAAGATCTGTAACGACTGCTTGCAGAGGTGTGTGTGGAGGATCCTCAGGTGTGTTTGTTTGTTTTAGTCCTGCTCACATAGAGGAAACTTTATGGCAGGAAGAGGCTGCTCCTGGTAAAATGCTGTGATCAGACTTAAACACAGTGAACGACCACACAAAACCCCAAAATAACAACCTGCTCACGCTCAACCGGGGCCGTCATTAACCAACAGCTCCGTCCTCCCGACTGTGGGACTTATTTATCTATTTATTTGTTTTATTTTCACAACAAAAACATAAAAACAGTATTATGTTTCACTAAAATAGAAATAAATGTGATGGACAACTGCCAAAAAAACCTCAAGGGGTTTAATGAGTGACAGTCTCCATAAAAACAAATATATTCACAATTTCAAACATCTATATGATATTGTGTAAAAAATTTAATTTATTTGTATAAAAGAATTTAAAATATAATTTAGACCACAAATCCATCTGGAAAATTCAGAGAACTTAGTAGCAGCAATTTTAATCTCCATTTAAATTGTTCTTTAGAAAAATCTGTCAGAGATGTGGGAAGACTGTTCCATATCATTGATCCTCTGTATAATATAATATAATATAATATAATATAATATAATATAATATAATATAATGTGTTTGAGTTGTACGAGAGTAAGGAGGCCTGATGAGACAACTACTACAAGTTGGATACTGGTGAAATTCATTATTAAAAGTAAAAATATTACAAAAGTGCTGGGAAAGTAACTTTTTTATAGAGCTATAAGCGAATAAAGCAATTTGAAGTTGACTCACTTGATAAACACTAAGAATATTTGCCTGAGCAAACAGTGGTTGGGAGGGGCGTTTACGATTTACACAAAATATTAGTCTTAAAGCTCGCTTCTGAAGTTGAAAAACAGGTTCCAGTTTAGTTGGGTGGGTGTTAGCCCAAGCAACATTACAGTAATTAATACATGGATATAACTTTGAATAATATAACATAATTGCAACTTTTTTGTTAATCAGGTGTTTACTTCATGCCGTTTGAGTGTTGAAGGGTGTTTTCCAAAGTGTTTTTTGTTATAAAACATGCTTCAAGTCGACGCCAAACAGAATCCGAGAACTCTGAATCGGAGTTGTGTTCTGCTCGTCTTTTAGGCGAAGCATGAGGCAATTAAACCAGAATACAGAGGCAAATGAAGCATGATGGGGGCTCGGGCATGGCCCAAGGCCTCCGTGGACCAAAGTATTGGAGAAAAAATTAGACTTCCCTATCTCGTAGCTTGTAACAACCCCAAATACATTCAAGGAAAAGTCCTTATTTTTGGTTTCCTTCTCAGACGTTCTCATAATTAAACATAAAGAGCTGTAGCTCATTCAAACGCATCAACATGCATGAGGTGTTTGTATTAATAATTACATGGATCTGCCAAAGATATTGAAGGAGGGAAAGACTAAACAAGCAAACAACCACCCATTTTCCATCCATTCCAGATAAATAATTGATGATAAATCAGCTGCTGTAACCTCACATGCAGCTGTCATTTATTATTCTTTCAGGCCGCTGGCACATTCGGTCAATTCTGTTTCTAATATTTAAGCTAAGTGTGTTTACAAAAAAACACTTTGCTTTGTAGTGATGACTCATGTCAATGAGTCAAATGCTACAATAAGTATCTTCTTTTTTAAGATTAAATGCTAAAGACACCTTTACATGGAAAGCCCCACCGTGTCCTCTTTCGGTTCTACAGGACTGTCTCAGAAAATTTGAATATTGTGATAAAGTTCTTTATTTTCTGTAATGCAATTAAAAACATGAAATGTCATACATTCTGGATTCATTACAAATCAACTGAAATATCGCAAGCCTTTTATTGTTTTAATATCGCTGATTATGGCTTACAGCTGAAGAAACCCAAATATCCTGTCTCAAAATATTAGAATATCGGATTTTTTAGTTTTCTTCAGCTGTACGCCATAATCAGCGATATTAAAACAATAAAAGGCTTGCGAAATTTCAG